TTGGATATCTGCTAAATCTTTCAACATTTGTATTACTTAGAATCTGTGCTGTCGTATTAAAAGTCTGTAGTAAGTTCAGTTGTGACAAATTGCCTGGAGGCCCATGCATGTACTTATATGCTGACTTTTTTTAAATCCAGCTACTGGGGATAGCTGCAAGGGGGCTGGAAAGAGTAATATGTTACTCTTACAATTTAAGGGGTTCTAAATAAGACAATTTTAAGGTGCCGTCTGTCCTCACAAACACAAATATAATAAGTGATACATTTATAAGTAGTCATTTACAAACCTCTAATTAATATGCATTCAAAAATACAGAATTATTCATGCATAACATGCAATCATTCCATCCTAATTAGTAATATAATCACAAATACATGTCGCGACCCTAGCATACATTCTTTGACACATCCTAGCAGTCTGACTCACACTAGCACACATGCAGATATACATGCATTTATAGATGCACACTCGCATCCATAATTGAAAACACATTAGCACACAAATAATTAGACGAATTGCGACATCAATAGACACACAGTAACATACATGTAAGTTCTAATTTGATTCTCTTGTCCTCCTCTTAGACAGAGACAAAGGGGAACCTTGCTGTCACTGATGTCTAATATGGGGGAGCAGGAGAGCTATGCACTGAGCTGTACAGCTTCCTTGACTTAATGTCAGTCACAGCTCTCAAGCCTGTGGGGTTTCACAAAGATTTAGGGGTTGGTGTCCTGATCACCCAACAATAAGGGCAACCCTGATATTAGAGTCCCTGATGTCATCTTGCCCTTCTACTAGCTTGTCTTGCATTGTGTAGTACATGTTCCTACCCATTCTAACCCAAAACAGGTCATGAAAAGTGACACAATTGGGATGCAGAATGCCATGCAACCTATAGAAAGTGATTATATATCCGTGACCAAAAGATTAGGATAGTGCTTTGTATCTCAATTGAAATCACACATTTTTGTGATCGTGAATTTTACATTATTTTGATTTTTTTCCCCCCTCTAAATGCTACTTATTGTAGTTTTGGGGATCCACAGAGCTGACTTACACTAACATTTACTCATACAGATTGTCATAGGGGTTAAGTGTGGCTCAGCAACTAAAACCACTGTACTGTGAACCAGGAAAACTGGTTTCAAGACCCACTCCGTGTGACCTTGGGCAAGTCACTTTATCTCCCACTGCCTCAGGTACTGCCATTAGATTGCAAACTGTTTGGAGCATTGTGTCTTTTACCTCGATTTGCAGCATTCAGCTGTTGTATTGTGCAACTGCTGAAAGGCTGAATTTGTTACAAATACTGATTAATGCGAAAATCCTGAACAAGGCACTTTTGCAATAAAAAGTACTGGTGAAACGTTTCCACCTACACCTGTTTGGCTGAATGTGGTAATAACAATGATTTTTTAATTTTTTTTTTTTTTTTTAAACCCACATATATGAGATTTTTTACCATGAAGATTAAATTGAGATTTCTTTTGCTTTCAGTATGCTTTGAAAACATATATAAATGTTTGAAGAAAAAAATAATAATTTGCTTTTTATTTGTTCAATTATTTAGGCTATCTGGGTGGTCTCTTTCTTGGCATCTGTTTCGCTTGGCCTAGATTATGGCTTACTTGTTGCTGTAGCGTTTGCCATCATAACTGTGATCTATCGTACACAAAGGTTTGAAATTATTGTTGTTTTTTCCTTGTATTTCTTAAGATTATGCAAGTGTGTAGGAGAATATCACTGAGAATGGGGAGAAAAATGGATCACTTGCTCAATGTTTATTACCCTGGCAAACATGTCTCATGATTAACTCACTTGTGCACCTACAGGAAAAACCTTTGCACAACCACATTATTATTAGTATGACTTGCATTTAATGTTACTGTTGTACATCACCTGCATATCTCAAGTTTGACTTTGGAAAGTCCTCCTTGGTCATCTGGGTTTCATGCTTCCACAACTATCCCAGCTTATCATCCAAATGAGCGTATGTAGGTCGAAACGTTGTGATTTGGCTGTGGGTTTGCATAAATTGCCTTTTGTTGAATTTTGGAGTGCCTGGACCTTTCTTAACTTTCTACAATAAGCATCTAGTCTCCTGGTTTGAGATCTGGTTTGGTGGCACCCAGATTCAGATTGTTAGGGATTGAGTGCAGTTCCATACTGTTGGTTTTGGAAAGCATCCAAATGAGCGCAAGCATTGTGTTTCAGAGGTCACTTTGCATATATGCAGGTACACTTAGTAATCGACACTGTTTTAAACAGCTTTTTTTTAAGCTTAGGCATGGGTTGTGATCCAAAAGGACCAGTGGCCAGAATCCAGCCATGGATTGAACAGTTTCAACCTTTTGGGTCTTGTGCGCTTGGCCCCAATTCTGTATGGATGTTGAAGTCTCTCTCAGATTGTATAGCTAGGTGCCAGAAAGATTGTGGTGAGACGAAAAACAATAAAACTCCCCACAATGCAAAAAGAGAAATTACAATTGTGAATCATCTGCATTTTTCAAGTTGGACTTTGAAGTTCAGTTTTTAAAGAAATAGTACATTTCTGCTGCTTCCTATTAAACTTGGAGGCATAGAAAGACGGGGGATCATTTACCTGAAGTCTTGCACTCCCTCTGGTAGCAGGCCACCACCAATACTTCAAAAACCTAATATATCCAGAATTAACAATGTAATTAAAAATCCAATTTTTTTTTTTTCAGGTTGTTGGATAAAATAGTTATAGGTAACCTACAACTCTCTGTACTGATTTAGTATATTATAAGACTTTAGCAATACAGCAAGTTAATGTGGGTGTCACTAACCATGTGAACTTACAATCAACCAGCCACAAAGAGTTATTAAATTTAACGTTTAATAAGAAAGGGTAACACAATTATGATTGCAAGTATAAAACTAAAAGGAGATAAAACAAAATGCTAAAACTTGCAGTACTTTGCTGCTGGCGTAGTACACATCCACAGTACTTTTGGAAGGTCTATTCTTTGACTGAGACCATCAGTATACATGCTCTCAACCTATCCAAGGTTTCCCCATAGAGAAACACTGGGAGGCCAGCCATTAGAGGCATGATAACTCTGCAAACATTGCCGTTCCTAGGGAACAGCAATGTTTTTATTTGCCAGGTTAAACAGACAGACATATGGCACCCAGACCACTTCAGTGAGATAAAGTGGTCTGGGTGCCTATAGTGTCCCTTTAAATGTTTCCCAATGAGCTATTGCTTGTGGTCACCATAACATACACTTGTATATAAAATAGTAGGGCTTCCAATAACAGTTTAGTACCTGTATTAGTATCCAGTAAAAGTTAAAAATTTTCCTCTTACAAAATGGTGTATGTGCTTATTACAAAGTTCCACAATAAGTGCATGAAGATAAAGGTCCTGAAAGACTTACCACCAATTGCTGGCCAGGATGACTACCAGGTTTGTATCTGTTTGAGATCACGTCGGCCGGGATTCACTGTGATGACAATATTCACCTGCATAGTCAGAAAAACTGCAGCAGATATCAACACATTTAATTCTGAAAAGAGTTCTGTTAAGATCTTGGAGACTAGTAAAAAAAATGTTATCACTGCATGGAAGCCCTGTGATTTTAATATTACCGGTGTATGGTGACTGAAATCAACATCTCCCAGGGAAGCATTTAATTACTGTTACCGTGATGCAGATCTAATTTAAACTCATCGTGGTAAAAAAGAATCTGTCAACTGTAACGACTCTAGAAGTACATTGTAAAATAATATATCAAATGCTTCTTGAATTATAATTGCACAAAAAAAAAGTAATTTGTTTTAAATGCTTTCATGCTTTTGTCTGTTTTAGGATGTTACAATAATGTAGATTATAATAAACACTGCTTTTATATACTGACAATATACCTGTTTTCTTAGTCCAGAGTACAGAATCCTTGGACAGATTCCAAATACAGATATATATTGCGATGTAGAAGAATATGAAGAGGTAGGAAATAAATGTCACAAATTACCCTCTAGTTAGTAGTTTTCAATCTTTTTTTCTAACATATTACAATTAATATATTCTGTCAAATGTCAACAGAGAGACAGAGATCTACCGATCTATCAATCTATCCTATCTTAGATAAATATATTCATATCGTTTGTGTGTATGTATAATACCATAAATTATTTGGGCACAAATTCTTGTTTGGCTTCATTTTTCATAGTTTAAAATGCAGCTTATTTTTCACCTTTAAAGTGTTGTTTTTTACTCCTAGGTAAAGGAATACCCTGGAATAAAAGTATTTCAGGCGAACACGTCGCTCTACTTTGCCAACAGTGAGCTATTTGTCAGTGCATTGAGAAAAAAGGTATGTGTACTTTGTAAGTGTAACAAGGCAGCTCCGTTTCAGGAATGCTATTTCCATGTCATATGTCAGCAAGTAATGTTTAAAAGACAATCACATACTAATTCAGACTTATATTTATTTAAAGGAACACTATAGTGTTAGGAATGCATGTATTCCTGCCACTATAGTGCTGGAGTGGCAGTTTGGGACCCTGGACCTCTTGTTTGAGAGTGAAATGGGTTTTTATTCACCATTTCTCCATCACTGCCCTGGTCTTGCGACAGCTGACTTCAATAAATCTTGATGATCTTCGATCTTCTCTAAATAGGCAGCATTTATGTTGAAAAGCCTGCAGGGACAGACTATAGACACCAGACCCATTACATAAAGCTGTGGTTGTTTTGGTGACTATAGTGTCCCTTTAAGGGTTAGTCCAAGAACCATGACCATGTCAATAATTTGAAGGGATCATGGTGCTTGGAGTCTGTATCTGCAACATTTGGTTTAGAAACACTGCACATAGAGAGTTTAAACCCTCACAGGGGCGACATTAGCCAGCCCGGAACACTAATGTCAATTCTGTGCATATTCCTATGCACAGAATTGCATTTATTGGCTGAGAGCACTTAGCTGACGCTCTCAGCCAATGGATGGGCCAGTGGGATCAACTTCCAGCTTCTGCAGCTTGCAAAAGCCAGATGTCGTCACTGGGCACTGGGGACCCAGATAAGAGGGCAAAACGTTTTGCCCCATTACTGGGAAATGAGGCCAAGATACTCCTATAGGCACTACAGTAGGCTATAATTGTTTTGATGCTAAAGGGGAATAACCCTTTAATGCAATTCATAAATTATATTCCCATTTGATGGATCATATGTATTTTATATCAATTTAGACAATTTTCTATAATGTTTGTTTCAATGTAAATAAAATACTGCCTAAACTCTATATAGTACAAAGAATCATGCATGCCTGTTATATGTGTGTCCCTTGCCATCCTTTCCACTGTAATGTCTCTTTTATCACTTAGTCATACCCTGTTCACTAGCCACCCCACCAAAATCTGGCATGTTTAGGTGATGGCATTATACTACAGACCTATTTGTTATCTCAGGGAACACCTATTTGAATCATTCTGATATTTGCCGCTGCTTTTCTTTTAAATGTAATCCCATATAGAAATCATTGCTATTGTTGTCCCAATGTCTGGCTATTTCTTTCTGTACATATTAATTTTGAAAACATTATAGTTGATTCTATTGCAATGTTATTATTATCAGTGACATCCATGGCAGTTATTAAATAAAAGAGTTCAACAAATTGTCACGTAACTGGTGCATTTGGTACAATTACCATCTTTTTGTCTATGTTTTCATTTCAAGACAGGGATTGATCCTGGTGCTATAATGATTGCCAAGAAAAAGGCGCAGAAGAGGCATGCCAGAGAATTGAAGAAAACAAAGCAAACGGAGAAGAAAGCTGTTTTAAAGCTTGTAAGTCATATATTAGCTATATTACATGCTGTATCTGTCATGAAATTTGGTCAACCCAACCGAATCAGCAGCACCAATGGCAGGTGACTAAGGGACCTTTTTCCGAAAGTATGTCCACTCCTCGTTTTATATTTTATTAGTAGCATCGGTGGGAGACACTTGGTCTATCGCTGTATTATTATTAGAGTCACCACACACTATCTATGGATTTGAACTGGGTGAAGCACTTGGTTCCCTCCCCAAAGTAAAATTAAAAGCTCTCAATCTGGAGGGGGACACTAGGTTTCTCCTTCCCTGTTTAATAAGTTGCCCCCACATGCTGACCATCGGGGGCAGTGGAGATCATTTGGATGATTACAAACTTAGTGTGAAAAATAAGGCATTTAGTGAATAAAAAATATAGATAAATTTTATTTAAAGCAGCTGTATAACACTCCGTAGATATCCCAAAAAATCCACTAGGAAATAAACAGAAAACTAAACTACAACTTATTGTTTAAGTGATATATCCCACCTCCTAACCAACTAAGTAGTGAGTGCAGCGCTAAAGAAGTTGTATAAATAACTTACCCCTCAAAGTTTTCAGTTTTTTTTTTCATTTACATAAAATAGAAAGAAATGGTACAACATAGTGTGATACTGTATACAATGTTTCAAGACGTAAAATTACAAATACAATTGAGAGTAGATGTGCATCCATCTCACATTTGTTGGAACCTTTTGTTGGTATAGGTGCTAAACAAAAACTAGGTGGCAACATCTACCTTCTTCTGTACCCCACTGGGTAGGAGATTTTCTTCATAAAAGATGTGTATATGTAATAGAAAACAAACAGCAATTTAGTATTTATACAACTTCTTTAGTGGTGCACTCACTTCACTACTTAGTTGGTTAGGAGGTGGGATATATCACCTAAACAACAAGATCATTAGGATGGCTATCCCCTCCCCCAACCACGTTTTGTAAAATGTAATAGCCTCCATTTGCTTGGGAGAAGAGAGTGAACAGTGATCAATCCACCACCCATGATTACATTTAAAAATGTCCCCATCCCCATTGGCTGCCCAATTGCTAGTTTTTAAAGATTGGCAGATAAAAAGTTCCCTTATACTTAAATAGTAGTCACATTGACCAGAAACAGATTTACATCACAAATGCCTCTAGCACCTCCCAATTCCACCCCCAAACTAAAAAAATGTAATTGAAAAAGCTGATCAATTTAAATATGATAAACGTTTTTATGTATAAACACATATGGAGTGTATGTACTGTATCACATCTGTAGCAGTGTGTGTAAATGTCTTAGTGCATGTATTACTGTGTTTGTATAGAAAGTGTGCAATATTGTGTGTCTAGTAGCAGTATGTGTAGTAGTGTGTGTTTGTAACAGTGTAAGTAGCAGTAAAGTACAGTGCAGGAGAATGTGTGAGTCTCTGTAAGGGTAACGGCATGTATAGCAGTATGTGCAACAGTGTGAGTAGTAGTATGTGTGTGTGTGTATAGTGTGAGGAAAAGTATTGTGACGAAACGCCGGACACACCGACCAGGTGCCTCCGCCAATCGCTGCTTCCTTATTGCTCACCAAGTACCACAAGCACTCCACCAGACACCATCAGCACCGTAGTCCCCACGTCCAGCGTTACAGCTTGGCTGGGAACTCGCTATCCCCCACCCACCCTGGACCCAATACCAGGATCCAGCTTCCAGTGGGTGAACCTCCCCTATTCCAGAGAGTATAGCAGGAACAGCTCTTATAAGAGCTAGTGATTATAATCCCAGGGGAGTATAGTGCTATAGCAACTCCCAGGGTAGATAGGGTAGCCATTTCCCCCACACATGAGATAAGACTCTATGTTGAGGGTAAGCAAGAGAGGCATGCCAGAGAATTGAAGAAAACAAAGCAAACGGAGAAGAAAGCCACAACTGGCCTTTTATGCAAGTCCTCATGCAAGGGGCACTCCCACCCTGGACCTGAGAGTAAACCGCAGTATAAACAAATACAAAACTACATTGGCTCTCAAATCCAGGACACTCCCATACATAATCAGATAATCCCTCCTCTGTGCCTGGGAGATAATTGGATCAGGATCTGTACTAATCTAATCCAAATATCTCCAAGCACAGAAAAACATACTTTTCCCAAACACCCCAAAAGTACCTCTAAAACACATGGAAACCCCACTAAAGTTACATCCCCTGATAGCCCTCGATCTGGGGGACCAACATATCCAAAAATCACCCAGATCGGTTCAGGGGTTAGGGATTTCCGTGGAAGTCATAGTTTTGAGCGACTGTGTACATGGTCCTATGCCCAAAACAGTTCCAGGGAATTAGGGCTAACGATCGGTCTCTCTTTCTGGAGTACAAAGGTACATATATCACATACGTTTTTTTTAAAGGGCCCATAGGTTTTTGGCAAGAGGCTGGCCAGCAGAGCCTGTGGCGAGGTTACTTTCGCCACAAGTATGTGTGAGTGTACAATGTGGTGATCAGTATAAGGAGCAGTGTATGCGTACAGTGTTGGTAGCTGATTTGTGTGTGTACCTGTCATTTCACAAGGTCACACAATGAAGTCCTCTCCCTCAATGCTCAAATCAATGTGTTCAGACTGAGGGAGCAGGGCCAAGTACAGATCACATAGGGGGTATTTATCTAAGCCCTCTACACACTTATTAACCCTTAATAGGGTACACATGGGGGTATTTATCTAAATATCCTACATACTTATTAACCCTTAGTAGGGTACACATGGGGTGGTTCGGTCCGGGCCATTCTAAGTTTAATGAATAATGATGTATAATTCTGCTTCCCTAGATCTACTACACTAAAGCCTATTACTAGTGTAAGTGCATGCCATGTGTATACAGTGACAGAGCATATCAACATACTGTACACTGAACATATGCTGTTTTACATTATAAATAGATTCTTCTTTTTTTTTTTTAGACCAATGATGTGGAAATGGCTGTAAAGCATGAACTAATGGACGACGATCCCATGACAGATTTATCAGTAAATGATAAAAATGGATCAGCTGACAGAAATATGCATAACAGCCCATCGGAGGAACTGGAATACTTTATGTCCCCAGCCATCAATGTTCATTCCATTATTCTGGACTTCACTCCTGTCAACTTTGTAGACTCTGTTGGAGTAAAAACCCTGAAGTCGGTAAGCTGCAAGTAGTTTAGCAGTTTAAAGGGCAAATTAAACCATTTTTTAATCAAGTTTTTATTTAGATGCTGACAAGAAATGTGAATGCATATGTAACCATGGTTCAAAAAAAAGCATAACTTTTATTAAATTCTATAAAAAAGGCTTAGTGGGCATGAAAATCTAATAGCCCTTAGTAAATATTCCTGTTTATTTAAACAATATCTAAGACTATGGCAGATAAGGGAACAGCTTGTTTATTTGTTGTTTGCTTCTTTCCCTATGCCTTATTTATACTGGGCTACCACTACAGGGTAACCAGAAAAAAGCCCACATGAAAATTGCACACAGAAAAAACCCTACTGTCATAAATGCCCACAAGAAAAATGCCCACAAAGAAAAATGCCCACACTGAATATGCACATATAGTAATTTTGACCATTTATGAGCATGAATTACCTACATTTTATTTTGTTATCATTTATATTACCTACATTTTATTTTGTTATCAGTATCTAAAGATTAAAATATATCATATATTTATATGCAACAATTTGCATTATGATTTTATAATGTATAATTAATAATTTTGCTATGTTATAAGTATACTAATTCACTGCTAAACAAAATGTGTCCTATGTATGTAGAGAGCTTTAACCCCTTAAGGTCAGAGGCAATTGTACAAGTTCTGACCAAAACAAAACCTAGAATTTGAGCGAGATATATAAGTCTGTTCAACCATAATTTACCTCTTTTATATTAAGTGTACCCACATGTTTTATATATCATTTTTTTCAGGACAAACATGGATTTAATTTCACATCAAATATTAATTTATATATGATATATAATTTAAATTAAATCTAAAAAAAGTGTGAGATAGTAAGAAATGTGGCTGTTTTTCAACTGCTACATGACATTTTATTTTTTATTTTTAATTCTTTATTTTAGAAGTGCAGGTTTAAACATCATTGCAGGCAGTGCCACAACAGCAGCTGCGTTGCACATCATAACATTTTATAACATTAGAGTGGCATACTGTAGCATATATCGGCACAATTTTATTGTTATTTTGTGATACCGTTATCAGCAGGTTAATCCACTATGGTGTTCAGGAGTGCGAATGCTCTAGTTCGAATGTTCAATGGATATCGCAATCCTATGTGTGGACGGTTGTGTGTGTTTGTGGATGAGGGTTTAATATAATGAAAGATTTTGGTAAGTAGTTAGAGAGTAGTGGACACTGGACTTGCGATCCCTGTGGAAAGCGCGGTTGGGTATGGTCAGTAGCTAGGGGGTTTCGCGGGTCTCGATCCTCTTGCGGTTTTTGAAAGTATAGTTGCGTGTCCGTTGAGTGGCAAGAGGTCGGCACTCACTCCAATTATGTGTTAGTGCTGCTAGACAGAAGTAGGTGAGTGGGGGGTAGGGGTGTAATAGCGGGAGTGTACTCCCTATGCCAGCATGCATCTGAAGGTAAGGGGATGCGTCCCTAGGAGTATGGTATTTGTGTCAGTGTGAGAGGTAAACATCAAAAAACAGAGCAAGGCAAAAAGAACGAAAGCAGTGTAAGCCATATAGCAGGCAACAACATATAGAAGTATAAAGTAAAGTCACTGGTTTCAGTCCGTGGCCGTTCAGGGCACAGCAGTTGTGGTGGGATCTTCCCGCATAGCAGCAGGAACAAACGGGCGGACCCTTTCGGGGTCCCAGGCGATCGGCCGTGGAACCGGAGCAGAGGTCTGCGATCCCTCCGGAGTGGTTGGAAGCCCGAGGGTCTGCAGCGTGCTGGGTATTTCTTCTGCCCCTAGTACTTTCATTGTCCCGGATTCTTGGGCGATCAAAAGGCTCCTTGGCATTCCCCACCTGTAAGGCACCTGGAATTTTGTGAGTATTGGCGTTAGTGGTTTCAGGGATCTCCTCCACTCTAAGGTTGCTCTAGAGAGGTCCGGAAAGAAAGTCAGTTGGTGTTCCTCAAAAGAGAAGGGCGATTTGTTACGAGTGGCCGCCATGAACGCCTGTTTGTCAAGGCTGTTTCTAAAGCGGATTATGACGTCCCGATACCCTCCTGTGGCATTTGCAGGTGGCGCTGGGAGTCTGTAGCTGCTGTCTAAGTGCATTGTTTTGGCTTGTTTGGCTGAAAATAGTTGGGTTAGGAGCCTCCGGATTAGGTGAGGCAGTTAGGCTGCGGTAACTGTATCAGGTAGGCCGCGGATCTTTACATTTTTCCAGCGCCTCCTATCCTCTGCTGCGGCCATGCGGTGCTGAATCTTAGCTTGTTCGCCTTTCAGGGCGGCGAGTTCTCGCTCAAGTGTTGCGAGCCTTGTCTCGTGGCCGGCAGTTGTTACCTCCGTGTCATGGAGGCGGGCTGAGACTCCTTTAATTTCATCCCGGAATGTGGAGATGTCTGTGGCAATGTTACGACGTAGTTCGTCTAGGAGGGACTTTAGGGTGTTCTCTGTCACCGGTTCCCCAGGTCGTCGGTCAGACCGTTTGTCAGGTCTCTTACTGTGTGCCGGTGCCTCCAGGTCTCTCAGATCGGTGAGGGAAGCTTCGCTGGATGAGCACGACGGCCCATCTGTGAGAGGCGCCATGTCAGGCCTCATGGAGCCCTGAGGCCTCCAAAGGAGATCGCCGATATCGGCGGTTGTCAGGGGTTTATCAGCCCGATATTTTTTTGACTTGCGCCCCATCGTGGTTACAAGCTGTAGCCCAGCTGTGGTCCAGATTTTCAGGGCAAAACTTGTTTTTTTTTGGCTCTTTTGGCTGTTGTGAAGTCGGAGCTCCTGCAGGACGCGTCCATTCGCTTAGGCAGCTGGCTCCGCCCCCTGCTACATTACATTTTAACTGTGAATGTCAAACTATTCTTTTAGCTTTTACTGAAATAAAACAGACATATTTGTATGCTGTGAAGTCCCACAAGAACAATGATGCCCCCTATGTACAAGTTTCATCTTGTTTTGGAAAGTAAGAGTCAAATGTAAGCTCATTGAGCAGGGCCCTCCACCTCTCTGTTCCTGTAAGTCCAGTTGTCGGGTTACAATTACATGTCTGTTAGTCCACCCATTGTACAGCGCTACGGAATCTGATGGCGCTATATAAATAATAAAATAATAATAAATAAAGAGCTTGCCCATTGCAATTTTACACATTGAAATTTGCCAGATTGGTTTGTGGGCCTATCTTGCCTTTGAGACTATATAGTAGCCCAGGAATGAGAATTATCTCCATCTTGGCATACGATTTGCAAAAGTGTGCAGCTCAGTGTATTCAAAATAGGGTATGTCCAGTCTTCGTTAGTAGACACTCCGTCACAAACCCTGGCCAAACTTAGTGTTCAGATTAGTTTTTTGCATTTTTCACAAAAAAAACGCAGCTTTACTGATATCATTTTAATTATACATTTCCCTGTTTTAAAACACATATATCCGTGTTCAGCAGTTTCACAAGTACAACAGTGCTCCTTATAAATGAAAGCCTTGTTTCTCCTGAAATAAATTAATATATAAGTGCGGGTACACGAATGATATAAAAGAGGTAAATTATGGTTGAACAGACATAGATCGCTCAAATTCTAGATTTTGTTTTGGTCAGAACTTGTACAATTGCCTCTGACCTTAAGAGGTTAAAGCCCTCTACATACACAGGCCACATTTTGTTTAGCAGTGAATTAGTATACTTATAACATAGCAAAATTATTATTTAATTATACATTATAAAATCACAATGCAAATTGTTGCATATGAATATGAGATATTTTAATCATAAGATATTGATAAAATAAAATGTAGGTAATATACCTATTCATGCTCATAAATGGTCAAAATTACTACATGTGCATATTATTCAGTGTGGGCCTTTTTCTGTGTAGGCAATTTTTCCGTGTGGGCATTTTTCTTGTGGGCATATATGACAGTGGGGTTTTTTCTGTGTGCAATTTTCATGTGGCCCTTTTTCGGAGAACCCACTACAGGTATCTAAGTGCATATGTAATCCCCCTAGAGTCGACATAGGTGTGCTACATCTCTGCTAGCATTAACATGTTTGTGCTTATCTATTCAGAAAATAGCTTGACAGGATACTAGTGACCTCTATTGGTAGATAACAGGTTCTACATCCCAGGAATTTGAATAATGGGTTTGTCTAAATTTATACTTTTGAATGAACTTAAACTGGTGACTACTAATATTTCTTTTAAAAAATCATTTAAAAAAAAAAAAAAAAAACAATTCTAACACATTGAAGATAGAAAAATAAACTAAGGATTATTATATTTTTATGTGCATTAGGTCCGTCTAGGCTTTTTTAGTATGATAACTAATAAATTGTTTTATTGAACCGCAGTTAGATTTGAGTTCCATCTCCTTTCACCTCTATTTTTATTGACAAAAAACATGGTTACACAAGGAACAGTAAGAGCGCAGCAGTGTTAAAATAAAATTTACAAAGTTGGAGACCAAAGTTATAACTATGCTTAAAAAGGTAAGCAGCAGAATATCCAGAATAGTTACAGCCCTTGAAAATCAACCTGATTAGCTTACGTCTAACATAGGGCAGTGTACATCGAAGGGCTGGCTGCATTTGGCCTAGGGAGGCAACTACCAATAAATAATTAAAGTATATTGTCTTACCACACTCCACCCCCTTTGTAAATGTTGTATTAAATGTTTTATAACTGTACTGCAATATTTGTGCTACAAAAATAATTCTATTCAGTATTGTGCTGTGGCCCACAAACCCCTCTATACTAGTGGCCTGAGGGCAAATTCCTTCCTGCCTTCCTTGCCAGCCCTCCCCTGGCAATTTAGTTTTACATCACCTACACAGCTCGGCCTGGGCTGGGACAGGAGCAAGAATAGGCCTGGCTAGTAACACATGTCAGTAATTGGATTCATTCTTTGTTTGTGTGCTGTGTATTATTTTCTAATGTGCTTTATATTCTCAGGCAATGAAGGAGTATAAAGAAATTGGTGTTGATGTCCTTCTATCTGGCTGCAATGGTAAGCTTTTTCAAAATAATAACCCTGTCTACACAGGGGTTAAACATAATGGGTACACATTGCTTTTTAGCCAATGATCTTGGAAATGTCATCAAAACTAATTTAAACAGACACTCTAACTTTAAAAATGAACATATTTTTTTACTATTTTACTAGTTTTTACTAGTTGTTTTTTAACTGGCGAGGTAGCTCATTTGGTAGTCATTCCCTGACTACCAAGCCTGTTCAAAAATGCAAGGTCACAGGTTCAAATCCCAGCAGGTTCAACTCGGCCCTTCATCCTTCCGAAGTTGATAAAATTAATGGGGTAATCAATGGGGTAATACTAACATATATTACTATTCAGCTGCCAATTTGGTTAATTCCAAGAGCGTGCACTGAAAAGTGCCTTGAGTCCCACTTGGAGAAAGGTGTTATACAAATACAAGTTATTATTATTAAATACTAGTTATAATTGTTAACATTAAACATACATGTAATCCTGAGCTGTCCACTATGATATAATCTTGATTGATGATATCTTATCCAATCAGATGCTTCTTTTAAAGAAACAATGAGGATCTCTGTGATGTGCTCTGCCAAGCCAGTGCTTTTAATTGAGAAGCACTAAACATATAAAATAAACCAATATACAATGCTGATAATGTCATAGGAAGAAGAGAAAAATATGTTTTTATTACAATGTTTGTGTTACATATGGGAATCTCCTCCATGCTCAACAAATGGAATTTGAGCCAAAGTTAAAGAGTTTCTCAAACCCTTTTTAATTTAAAAAAGAATAATGCCCTACTGGAGTCCCTTGGTGCAGTCCCTCCATTTTGTGGTAAACCATTTTTGAGCAGTTTAACACTGAATGAGGGCCCCTGAGGACCCATAACCCATTGTAGGTATGGCTAAAGTAGTGATTACACTATTTCTTAGCCATTTCAATTTGTGCCAGCAATAGGCAGCTGTCAACTCAAACTCTTAGTCGCTTAAAGTGGTCAGCTGAAACTCTTAGCCAATCACTGCCACAGATTGCTACTTGGGCTAATGCATTATTATCAGCCAAGAAGCACAGAGGACATGGGCTGCTGGGGATTCTTGTTTTTAGCATTAAATCATTAAAAATAAAAGTGAATAAAAGTTCAGCACAAGGGGCTCCAGACACTATAACCACTTTAATGATATGAGGCAATTACAGTGTCTCTTTAAATGACAGCCTTTTACTATCTGACTTTTGAATACTAAAGGTTTTATTTCTCTCCATAAGACACAGACAGAATATTTAAAAAAAAGTATTTAGACATTGAATGTATCTCTATGCCCTGCACAGTAGGGCTTTATGGGTAGTACATGGGTCTGTAGAAGTTGTATGTCCATTAGCAAGGTTTTACTTCTGAAGGGACAGCCCTGTAACCAGCAAGATGGAAGTGCTTTAGTATGGATAAGGTGGGACATATATTGAGCATCTATCTGTTTGTGAACTACAGTTCCCATAAACATGTTAGCCACTCGTGGGAGTAGTACTCCACAAATGTCCCCTGATCCATTATTTGTATGCATTATGTAAAAGCAAACACCATCTCCATGTGCTAATATATCCTCTTTATTTATCCTTGTTTACAGCATTGGTTGTACGAGATCTAACCAGTTTAAATTTCTTTGACAAAAACATCGAGAAAGACCTTCTCTTTCACAGTATTCATGATGCTATGATCCACTGCAAGTTTAAAGCCTCTTCCTCAGCACTCACATCTTCAGAGGAGCAGGTTCTGACCTCAGATACAATCAGCCAGATCTGAACCTTGCTGCACCCCACGAGACCTCCTCTCACATCACCCTTCTATAAGATGACAGTGCAATAACCTGGTCAGACATTTTGTCTCAAGGGAGGTAACCTTGTTTGCCTCCCCTACTACCCAAAGGATCACATGTTTACTCAATAACCTTTTTCACAGTCTAACACCATGTTACTGGCACTTTATGTGTTGTCAAGAGGCAAAATGGGTAGATGTGAGTTCAAGATAATTTATAACTGGTGGGTCATATTTGACCCCATATTCAGCCGTTTTTATTAACATTTCAGTGTAAAACAGTGCATAATGGTGAGAAAATGAGCAGTAGAATGTGTTAGTTGTACTTAAGGTACATTTTACCTCCCTAACATACAGGAGAAAAGACAAATCAATCAAACTAAATCTAGAAAAGGTACTTCTTTGTTTGTGAAATAAGTCACATGGGGTTTGTCTTATATTATCCCACTGGCGGGGGGGGGGAAGCAAAACCTCCAGTGAGGGTGTTGTGGAGCTTGACAAATGCACTTTACCCAGAGTGGTTGGGCATTGATTTCCCTATGGTCCATTGCAAGCCATTCTAGTAGCTAAAAGGTCACACACAAATCTTACTTATGTGAGTAATAATATTTGTGAAAGTGTTGAAAGACACCTATACTGATAACGGAGGGAAAACGCCTATTCTCATACATATGTTTTAAAAAAAATATAAACATTGCATTGGTTTTATAATTGCACTGTTATTAGATATGTTGCTTTGATTCTCTTTTTGTGTCCTTGGTTGCAGTGGGCAAATAAGAGCTATAGATGAAAGGGAGAGGAGGATTAGTTAAAACATTGAAAGGTTTATTTACTAAAGTGACAATTCAAAATTAATTCCACAATAGCTGAATTGAATGAATAGCTGGTTTAGAGAATTTGTCCAGTTTAGCTGGTTTAACCTTAAAGCAGCACTGTCACCCTCATCTCCACCTCAAATGAGTATTTGATAAAGAGGGGAAAGTGGCTGTGTCTATGGAGGATCATGTGACCTCAGTGTTCTACCCATGTGCATGTGCACAACGATGAGCTGAAGAGAACAGCTGCGGCCATAAGGGACAGGTACAAGTAAGTATTACTCACTTTCCCCTGCACCCCACTACAACAGGACACCCAGCAGCAAACCTACCATCGAGGGTCTTAGCAAATTATGCAAAGACCCAACAGAGCTTCTTTAAATTTAAAATTTACTTTGAATTTTCACTTAAAGGACCACTATAGTGCCAGAAAAACAAACTTGTTTTCCTGGCACTATAGGGTCTTTAGGTCATCCCCCCTCCCCCACCCTCAGGGTCCCACACTTACCTTTCTCCAGCGCCGGGCTCCCTCGGCGCTGGGGAACTCTCCTCCCTCTTCTGACGTCAGCGCTGAATGCTCATGCGCGTCACGATTTTCACAGTGAGAAGTGCGAAAGCCTCTAGAGGCTGGATTCTCTGAATAATAAGACTGCCTCTAGAGGCTGGATTCTCTGAAACTGCTATGTTTACAGCTGCAGGGTAAACCCTATATGGACCTGGCACCCAGACCACTTCATTGAGCTGAAGTGGTCTGGGTGCTTGTAGTGGTCCTTTAAGTAAATAATCCAGTTATATTTTTACCACAGAGTTTTCATCACATTATTTATATGTGGCTATATGGGGGGAGGGGGGATAGATACCATAGTACATCTTGTATAGATCTGAGGATTTGTCTAGAGAATTCTTGTTTGTGAGTTACTAGAAGTCATCACTTATCCACATCTTCGTTGTTGTTTTCTATGGTCATTATGGTCTTCTAACAAAAGGAAATGTGTACTAGACTTTACCATAGAGGTATATTTAATATCAAGGAGGCAGCTTATTAAAGAGCTTAAAAAGGTATTGGCTATCTTTGCAGTAAGTGGCATTTTAACCTTCTACTCAGGGCTGTCTTTAATGTTAACGGACCCTAGGCCTGCCTCTATTTGTTGATTGGCTTTCTGCCCCGTTTACCTCAGTATCCACCTCAAATACTTAAACTTTCATCACCATGTACTCAAGCCTGATTACACACATCCCAAATTATTTTACCCGCCTCAAACCTTTATACATACATCTCACATTGTACCTCGATCCATCATTCCCTTTCATTGACCATTACTCTTGTACATCCAGTATCTCCACCGTAAAAAAAACTGCCCAACACCATTCTCAATCCATAAAATACTCATTTCAGCCATGCGCTCCATTTTCCTTTATTAACATCTTTTCTGGATGATTCAAGCCTTACCAGTTTGCATTTCAGGGCTAGATAGGTACCTGGCCACAGTGGGGATCCTTTTCTTAGCGATGCACTTGACAAATACGGTGGATCATGTTACCACATGTTGCACACATTGTAAAAGCACAAGCCAGTGTCGAGAGGGGCAGTCACACCATGATGTGTCTGTTTATATTTAGGTTTTGTTAGTATATTGCTCTGCAGGTGTTTCTTCTTTTATAGGGCTAATGTTGCCCTAAAATGCTGCCAAGTAGAGGACAGAATGAAAGACCCCCAGTTCTTACACATGTCCTCTTGGGCAGGGACAAGCACAATCATTAAAATAACGGTGATCACAATGCATCAATTGGGGCCCAGGTGATTTTATTATCCTGTTTCTCTACCACGTGGGTCCTATTTTTGCCTTTTTTTTTTTTTGCCAGTGACATTTCCAACACACCTTTCTTGTCTAATGCAATCTGATTTTGTTGTTTCTGGAGAAGTGTAGAACTGCTGAAGCTTTGTAACATCTCTGAAGAACATTCACAGAAAATGATATTCAAAAGAACATTCAGAGCACCTTTGAACACTTACTTTCTTAAATTGGTGTGAAATCAATGTGCATATAGTAGAGTAAGAATAACATCTTACACATTTAAATGTCTTTCAAAATGTGTGAAATGCTCACAAAGATAATCAAACTCCATGCAGATTTTTAAACTATAGCAGCTCCTTGTGTATGATGAAAAATTATAGTAGTTTTTTTGTTCAATTTTTGGGGATGTAGTTGCATCTTACTTTCTTTTTTGTTTGTAGTACATTGTACATTTTTAAATTTTTGAGAGATATTATTGTATATACTATTTCAAGAGAAATATTTAAAGACTGGATCTAAAGGCAAATATATATTTAAGGGCAAAACATAGAAAGCCTTAATGCCGTTAAACTGTGACATTTCTCATCCAGACCCCAAATTATTGTTTTCGTCTGAGAATAGAAACTATATTTGTATCCATATAGCAATCCGTTATGCTGGAGAAAGTTTTTATATATTTTTTTTTTTTTAGAACTTCATTAATTATTTATAAACAAGTACTGATTATTTAAGGTCTGTTACACGTGATAAAAAGTTACATTTCTAAATGCTTTTACTGAAAATGCATATTACCTGTGACTTTTTTACAGGTAAATTCAATAAATGCTAAAAATCCAAATTGCTAAATTTATGCAAAAATAGCCACAATGTGACTATAGCAAAGTTGGAGAATATTTCCAATAAGCACCTTTTGCCAATATTTTGCAATTTGGTTTTCAATTCACGGCAGTATGGAGTTTATTGAATGAAGTCAATAGTTGGCTTTGGTTACTTGTTCTTTAAAGTCATTTTCAGTGTTGTATTTTATGTGGTACAGAAAAAATATAGTGCCAACCAACTTGAGACATATGGCCAAAATAGTGGAGTTGAAGATTTTAGTTTAATTATTCTATTGTACTTTAAGTAGGCTGTCAACATACTGCAAGTCACTATTTATTGAATACACTTACGTGGATTTTTCCTGCGATGTGATTGTTTTACATCAATGGTTCTTAACCTTTTTTGTCATTGAATCATTTTATGTATATTTAGTAACACCTTCTTCAAGTGTAACATAAATTCTGTAAAACACCTTCATTGTTCTTGTCCCAATCTCAATAATTTTCCACTCATGGGGAAAGCAATTTACAATAAGCAATTGTTGTGGTCTGTTATTGAGGCCTGATCAATATTATATATCTGTTAATACCAGGGAGGACCCACTAAAAGCCCATGGAATCCATTTTGAAGTCTCTACCCAGGGTTAAGAACCACTGTTGTAGAATTTCCTATTTGAATTTGATGTACCTTTCCAGAAGAGAGAGAATTTGATAGCGGAATATTTTTGTATCCATTTTAATGTAGGTTTTGGTTTCCCTAATGTACTCACATTACTAGGCCTTCTCTTCACTCAGAATTAATGAGTCTTTATGTATGAATTGGTAAATATCTGTCTCACAATCCAGTATTTTAGCTAAAATACATTTTTTTTTTGTAATTCTAAAAAAGATTTATTTACATCTCTTTCTATTTTGTCATGCATTTCTACTTATTTTGCTTTAAGTCAAGATTTACCTTAATAGTGTTTAGTGATGCTCGAGTTATTTCTCAATATTTTATAGTGTAAATAAATGAAAATGCCAGTAATCAATAGAGATGACAAGTAAGTTCACAACATTGGATGATTTTATAATAAAAAAAAATATATATATATATATATATATATATATATATATTAAACACACACTGTTTTACAATAGATTCCTTAGGATAAGTTAGTTGGCATTGTGTCAAAAGACTGGTAGGTAGATATCCAACACAAATTTGTTACACTACTTCTTTCTATTGAAATCAAGAGACTGATTTATAGTGAAGGTACAAAGAATGTCTGAGAACTTTAGCTCACATTTTACAAACTATTAAGCGTGAGAGGTTTGACTCATAGCAGCAGCAAAACTTGCATGTCTGCAGTTATAAGACACTATGTGCAGAGGGAGAGGTCCTTGGTGTTACCATAACCTATGCAAGGAAGTCTGGCCCTAGGCTATCGTAGAGAAGATTAATGTTAAATTCTCAAAAATTGCAGATTCACTTTAACCAGCATGGTTAATGTTAGTTACATAACTATATAATTTCTTAGATACAACAAATTGTTTTGTCATAAATGTGTACAAAATAAAAACACAACACGACTGAAACAGCACACCTTAAACTAATTAGCTCTCTGCTATCCATATTTGAGGTAGTCAGGTTGTTCACAATAAATCCTGTAAGTAGATCAGCCTCATTCATATAGGTTTTAAAGTGGCATTTATCATGAAAATGCCAACCCTAATGAAATGAAATAATGTGTGGCAGATGGCTCACACCTGTTGCAGCAAGTAAACAATCACTGTCAAAACTGGTATTTGTCATGAGTACAGACTTTGTATGTATTCATTGGGTGAATGTTGATATTGTTACCAATGTCAGATAATGGTAATATTCAAAATGCCATCTGTTTTGTCAGGGGGATCAACTACAAAGCTAGATAGACAAATGTGAAGGCTTGGCCTGCAGTTGTGGGAGGGGCATGGTCCCCTATTTAAGCTCACTACTCACCTCCACCAGTCCCGTTCGTTCCTTAGCGTTGCTTGACCCCACCCTCCTCTCCCTTTTATACTTTTCTCTATTCATTACTGGGTGGGCCCTCTTTATTTACAGGCCTACTGCTACGTTGGTTCCGGCACACCTCAACCGACTTTTCCTTTTCTTACACCTTGCTACACCATCATACTCTCCTTAAACTTTTGCCTCTGCCTTTTATGCCCCTACCACAACTGCTCTTATATTTTAACATCACTAACCAAATCACTGTCATTGTAACATTTGTGGTCATGTGGTGTGTTTTATTTTGTTTTTTATAAATACGAATATGTAACACTGACAAAGTTATTTCTAAAAGTGAGAACGTTTTGGAGTTCTAAGTGAATTTGAAATTTAAGGCCAAAAAAGCTGATTTGGATAAATACAATATTTTAGCTCTGCTTCCAGTTTGGTTATTTTGGGCTAAAATGTTAAATTAACTTTGAATTCCTGGCAACACTCACTTTAGTAAATAATCCTGAAAGTTAAAGTATCTAGTGGTCAATATTAAAGGCACACTATGGTATAAGGAACAGAAACTTGTATGCCGAATGCTAAAGTGTTCTCTTTACTTAGATTCATAAAGAAATCTAACTAAAAATGGGAGAGGGCACTTTTCTTTTTTTGTACAGAGCATGAACTTCATTAGTTACCCATTGTAAGAGAACATTGTTCCTGAAATTTTAACCTCTTAATTTTCTTTGAAAACACCATTGATACAACTTACGGCAGACCGCACCTACATACCTCAAAATCCAATGCACTGTAGTAGAGTTTGTTTTTTCCTTTACTTCTGAAATTTAGACTGACCTATTTTGCACTCAAGATGGATAAAAACTGGATTTGGTCTTTGTACATTGTGGTTTGATTTATATCACTCCACATGGAGCACAGATGTGTTTAATGTTTTATGTGGAAATACATTATTGAGCCAGACACTCAAGACTCCCAAATTCTAGTTACAATAATGAGAAAAATTAAAAGCTACAAAGTAATGTTAACATGTACCATCCAAATTTAGTCCTTAAATGTGTGGGTTTATTTATCTGGACCAAATCTAGTGCAGAGTTCTGAAAATTAAAGAAGCAAACAAATATCAACAGAAACATGGTGCTTATATGATCTCTGCTCAACTTTTAAAGCTTTGGTCTAGAATTATTAATTAATCCCATAACCCTTGACACATGAAAGTGGTCTATTTGTTGTTGTTTTTTTTAGATTTGTTTGGCCATTTTAAAAAGGCCAGCCAAGGTTTCTGAAAGCTGTGGTCCACAACTAGCTGGAAAACAGCATACACACTGATTGCACAGCGCTTTTTAGCTTAGGCTTATTGATAACATTTACCTAGACTAGAGGGAGTTATGAAGTAAAAAGTAAATTGTAAAAGTGGGGCAATCTCAATGGAAACCTACTGAATATTTTCTGCTGCATACTCCAATTTTAGGAGTTCAAACTGCAGCCCTTTATATATAAAAGCTCAAAAACCCAGCTCTACACACAACCTATATACCGGATTGCTTTGTTGTTGTAACATACACATAACAGTAGAAAACACACAGTTACATCTCAGATTAACTGGGGTTTATTTATGAAGAGCAATCTGGGGGCATTTCTTACCATAGTGATTGATTGTAGGAACTTTGCCTTAGACCTGCTCTTTATATATAAACTGTCATGGTGGGAAAAAAAGTGCTAAACTTGACAAATTGTTTTGATAATTGTTTACTAAAATATTAGTTGGAAATGTTTGTGTACTTTATTTGCCAATAGTATATTTTTCTAGATATATATTTTATGCTAAAAGAAATTGCCTTCATAGGGAAAATGTGTGTTCTGATAAGCATAGTTCTGTTTTTCTCAGATCATAATAAAATATTATTTCTGAAATGTCTTGGCTTCTGTATTATTACAGCTATGCACTGAAAATACTGGAGAGAAGAAAAAAAAAACTCAAATGTTTACCATATTTTTATTCAAATCTACATTTACATACTTATGTTATTTTCTTACACAACATGAGAGACAGTAGAATGGTCCTTGAGGAGAAGAACCCAATGCAGATTATTTTGTTTTGCTAGTAGACTTTTAATTGTAGGTCATATATCTTGGAGTAGCACTGAATTTTGCATATGACTTGATGACTTTATTAACAGCTTCTAAGAAATCTTTCTCTGTTGCAACTTTGCGACGGGCTCGGATAGCAAACATCCCTGCCTCTGTGCACACACTGCGAATTTCAGCACCTACACAGGAAGAGAGAGAAAGTTAGTTTGCCACAATAAAACAATTGATATGGAGAATAACAGAATGCTACATTGGCTGAGAAGAGCCCTGAAACAGTTGAGCTTTATTCTACAGAGATTATTTTGCTCCTGCAGAAGAAGGTTTGTGAAATGGACACCCAGGTGACAGATAAATTTCCAAACCGTACTAAAACATTGACTTACTGTAGTGCAGCTCTACACCATGCTAGCACCATAACCACTACAGTGGGCTAAAGCGGTTATGGTGCTTGGAGTGTTCAATTCTGATATCCAAAAGCACTGAACACTCAAGTAATTCATAAAACTAAACGTGAATGACATTCTTCTTTCAAATAAAGTACATTAAATATATATGCTTCTTATTCATGAACATTAAATCAGTTAGCAAAACACTTTTATAAACAAATTTGAATACCATACCTGTGCTATTTGGACACAGTCGGGCCAGTAGTTCAAATCTTATATCTCTTTCAACGCTCATAGAACGAGCATGAATTTTGAATATATGTGTACGTCCCTGCAAAACAAAAACAGTAGGAAGCAATACCATTTCATTAATAATAATCAGAATATCTTATGACACCTAAAAATATGTTTTACATAGAGAGAGCTATAATTGTGACATATTTAAAAGTAATTTTACCTCAAGATCGGGTAAACTGAACTCAATTTTTCTGTCCAGTCTCCCAGGCCTCATCAGTGCAGGATCTAAAGTGTCTGGTCTGTTGGTAGCCATTAGTACTTTGATATTTCCTCTGGGATCAAAGCCATCCAACTGATTGATCAATTCCAACATTGTACGCTGGACTTCATTATCACCGCCAGCTCCATCATCAAAACGAGCTCCTATTAAAAGAGTTGAGATTATTTTTCTACTTAAGCTAGGCAAAGAAAAAAGTCACATGCTTTTTTAATTAATATTTTCTTTATATTTAATACAAACACAACACAAAATGTATTTTTTTTTTTAAATGCAAACTATAAAACTTTTTTTTTTCTTTAAGTCAGCCACCAGTTTGCACACAAATAGTGCAAGTTTTAAGGCTCATCTAAATGTTCAATGTGATCCATCTGATAGTAATTTTGACAAATTAACAGGACTTGTAAGCACATGCAGAGATGGTAAAAAGCAGTATTATTTGGATAAAAAAGCAAAATGTTCAACACTGGTGAACTCTAGTTCTATATGAATACCAACAAGCCATGTTTCCAGGAGGACAAATATAAACTTGAGCAATATATTCTATCAAACTCAGGACAGATTTTACAATTAATTAAATAGATAATTTGTGTTTTTTCACTTCACTTAAATAAAGAGCAGTACTTGCATTTGGGGCAAACAGACAGTACCAATACAAAAAAAGAGATTTAAATTAAAGCGGCTCTGTAACTCCTTCATCCCCCAACAAATGAGTATTTCCGAAAGATAAGATCTTTATGAAATACGCACATTGACTGTGTTGGAATTTCACTGAAATTCCAGTTCAGTCAAAATATAGTCATTTTTTCATACATTTTTCCCCCCGAACATGATAATAGAAAAGGCAGAGCTATCCCTTTTAAGTTTTGTCATATCCCCCAGAAAAAAAAAAAAAAGGCATGGTCTATGGCGACTCTCGATCTTGTGGGATTCTCCTTAAACAGTGTGCTACTCTTGCAAGTGCTTGAGAGTACAGCACACACATGGGCTCATGCCAGATAAAAGTACCAGAACAGGATCCAGCAAATGGTTTTGGTGGTAGCCACAAAAACAACTTCCCTTGCACCCAGTGCACTGCATTGCAAGCGCAATATCCCAGAAGTTTACAATAACCCTTTATAAATCAGTCTAGAAAACAGTCTGGAAAACTGCCAGAGGACTTTCCAGTTTAAACCTATTGTTGACAGAACCCACATCATCATCTGATGCAAACTGACCCTGGTAAACCCACAAGAGAGAAGTGGCATGCAAGTGTGAGCTACCTACACATGCAATGATGTAAGGTTTCCCTTGACAGGAAACAATCAAGATACTTATTTTTATGATGTTCAAAAGGTGAAGCTATACAAGGAAATTCCAGATCAAAGCAGGCTTAGGTATAAATCTATGTTTGTGCAAAAATTGGAGAGAGGATTCAGAACATTTATATTATTATATGTAAAATAGAATCAACTAGATATCACATACCTCCAATTGCATCAATTTCATCAAAGAAAATAAGACATGCTTTCTTTGTCCTAGCCATCTCAAACAGCTCACGCACCATGCGTGCTCCCTGAAAGGATAACCACACGGTGTTAGATACCAGCAGACAGAAAGTGATTTACACTTTTGTGTAGTATTCAGGTTAACACTGGAATGACTTAAAACATGTTTGCAGGAATTAAGTTAAAAGAATGGTAAAGCATGCAATTCTACAATTGACATGAACTAGTTTTAATATTCCTCCTTGACTGCTACAGGGAAAACAAATTATAATACATATATTCTAAAGAATATGCTCCATAGTGTGCTGCGCTTCGTGTAAATAAAGATCCTAATGAAGTTTGCAGTTCTACAAAGGACATGCATGAGGTTTAACACTGCTTCCGGGAAAAATGCAAAATGAAAACATAATCTACCACAGATATATAGAGACTAGAACGTGCAATTTGTTACGTTTCGAATTGAATGTTGGCCAAACACGGTAATTCTGAAACTTCCAATCAAAGGAAAACAAAACTAGATAATTCGGAACTAAAGTCGAAAACAAATTATTTCCAATTAGTTTTAATAACAGCGTATTAGGGAGTTATCTACCTAACAAATGAAAATGCAAAAAAAAAAAAAAATACCCTTAACTGCTCTCCCAGTTGTTTAGTAGACATGTCCTTAAGTTGATATCCTTTAATTATGGCAATTCCATGTATGGATACCAAATTGTGGAGTCATCTATTAAAACAGCTCAGAGAGAAAAATTAAGAAAAGCCATTCTCTGAATTCTGGAAATTAACATTTGCTTGAATCAATATTTTTAGATAAACCAAAATTTGAAAATTAACAAAACTAATTTTTTACCCATGCACAACCCTAATAGAGACATGCTCTGTGTGTTATTAGAAAATTATATAACTTCCCTGCTCTCATGCTGAAGTGGGTGGATATTTTTAATGTAACTAGAAGCAAAAAACAAAACTTACTTTTACTAGTTCTAAATAAAAATAAGTACCTCCTGGCTATATCCACTGAACAGGGAAGTGTTTTGTATTGTGTGATGACAATATAAATAAAAAGTTCTTACCTCTCCAACATATTTCTGGACCAGTTCTGACCCAATGACTCTGATGAAGCAGGCATCAGTCCTGTTAGCTACTGCACGTGCACACAGAGTTTTGCCTGTTCCTGGGGGACCAAATAACAAAACTCCTTTTGGAGGCTCAATACCAAGATTGACAAATCGCTCTGGCTACAAATGAAAAGGAGGCCACATGGTTACAAAACAAACAGGAAATCCATTCATACATGGCATGTGTCCAATAGACATTTTAAGATATATCTTTATCAAATAACACATGTTTGTCTATACACTACAGGAAGCAAAAACAGATGTGTAATGTGTATGCAATGGTACTTGTTTCTATTGCAATGTCCACAACTCAATAAAAATAACAGAGTGTGTTATCAATTATGTTTTTCTTAGGAAATACATTAGTTAGTAATTTACCTCTGCTGTTTCTTTCCCAAGCCAAGTTAGGAATTGTTTTAGATGTGATCTTAGTTCACAAGTTGCTACATTTATGACAGTGAACAGATTATACACAGTTCTATATAGTATGCATCTTTAAAGAATTGAAACATCTATATGATATTATAACACGCTGCCTTCTAAATTCTGTGGTGACTACTTAGTAATAGAAGAGTTCAAAATAGCACTCTGCTTGTTCACATCTCAGACAAAATCAAGTGCAGGATATACATGCATTTACTTACATGAAGAAGGGGTGTTTCAACCACTTCCCTTAGCTTTTCAATTTGCTCCTTACAACCTCCGACATCACTGTAAGTCACATCAGGTTTCTCTTCTACCTGTACACGAATGCAGACACTGTTTATTAGAATGTAAGGTCTGTCCATCTCTCGTAAATAAATATACCCTTTTTATTATGGCTGTAAAATGTCTCAACCCTCGCTCCCACCATAAATTAAAACACCAAGCCAATGCAAAACAGTACAAATAGGTTAAAATCACCACCCAATCTTATGGAACCAAATGCGATTGTCCCAAGGTGAATCAAAAATGAAAAAAAATAAGACTTGTTTTGGACCAAGGGAAAAATGCTACACACGTAATTTCAATAAATAAACAATAACTTTAAGATTTCAGTTACCTGCATCATAGTTACAGTTGGATCAATTTTGGGAGGCAAAGGTATATGGATCTGGTACTTGTTTCTGTCCACACTGCAGGAAAAAGGAATATATATATTTATCAGTGTTCAGAGACAGATTGTTTACCCTTTAATTGATAAAGAACAGCTCAATAATTTTCAATCCTGTATCATTTAAACAAGTAATATTTCATGTCACATAATTGGGCAAGTGAAATTTCTGCAAACAGACTGACACATAAGTAAAGAGGCTGGTTTAACATAAAAATGTGATGTAATAATTACCCAACTCTCATGCCTTCTTCTATGTCAGTAGGAGCAACTTGATCACTGAGGTCAACCACAAATTTGGCAAACTGTTTGACATTGATAATGTATTTTGGATCCTCTGAGTCAGCATTGATTATTTTTGTACATCTAAACAAAACAAATAAATAATAAACATACACATAAGAAACAGCTAACACAATCTACTCAAAAAAGATTTAAATTGCTTGTTATCTCCTATGAATAATTATAGAGTAGGCTTTGTATTTGCTGTGCAATTATAGTGCTTTAAACATTTTTTTTTTAATTAATAACATCTTTATCTATTGTTATACATTCAAAGGCCACCTAACCGAACCAACGTCTACACACACTCCTGCAAACTATGCAAGGCATTCAGATCTGAAGATATTAACTGCAGACTGCTTTATAATTCTACATCATAAAAATGTGTGAGACACTGGAGCTGATTATTATGCAAGAATTCTCCAAAACACCCATTTTATGAAGATTTTACCTGGCCACTTGAAGTGGTTGTTCACTCTGGAGAGTCTGTTTGTCAGCAGCCAAATCCCACAGGGCTGGAGGAGCAAGCCCTGTATCAGATTCTTTAATCCCTGAAAATGAGAATTGTACATATATATGTGTAAATAGTACACTACTCCAACAGGCTTCTTGATTGGTTCAGTATATACTATGTAAAAGTAACAGCTTTTACAGACACATTGCACATATTTTTGATGGCATGAAAGCAGCCTCTCCCACATTAAATAACCTTTTTTTTTTTTTTTTTTTAAACTTAAATTGGTTTTGGGCTAACCAAGTAAAAACAGAAACAAATATTACGGCAATAGAAAACCAAAATATGCTGATGGGAAATAAATTATTTAAATATAATAGTACAATTTAGGTAGGGGAAACACGGAATAGACACTTCTTAGAATCGAAGTTTTAAACTAAATAAAACAAAGAAGACATACCTGTAAGCTCATTGATTTTTTTAAGAAGCTGCTGGATATCATCTTCTACCTGCTTAATCTGACGAGAATATGTACTCTGTCCCTGTAAAAGGCAACAAGCAATTGTTTTATTGAATTCTAAATGCAAATTGTTTTTTTTATCTGCAAAGTGGAACAATTATATAACTTTTGAACAAATGTACTATATATGATAAAGAAGAAACAGAACTCAGACCATGAAACCAATTATGTTATAGGGGATATTAGCTTGGGATTTGGACAAATCTCTGAAGAGTAAGAATTATTCAATGATATGATAAAATGGAAAATAGATCAGTCAGTGTACTTTGCTAGCCACTATAATAAATGGGGGAAATAGAAAACACTATTTATACACAATCAGTAAAGGCCAATATGGCTTAAGAATACCGCTATCTATTCAAATTCAACAAATATGAAATCAATTATTTTACAGGATAAAACACTTTGACTTACATAGGTTTTTAACAATGCTATGTCTCCTTCATCGAGTGCTGTAAAAAAAAGGAAAAAAATAATTTAACAAAATATCACCAACACAGGTTTGGGAGCAATTGTTATGGTGTTTTTTTTTTGTTTGTTTTTTTAAATGCCACCTGAGCATTGCAAAAAGAACATTTGGCTTTGCAGATACATGGCGTTTTATGCAAATAGAATATTATTTTATTTTCCATTTTAACACCAGGAAGGAATTTTCTCCCATTGCATGGCAACATTCTAAAATTATTTAAATTGGGGTTTTCAGATTATTTCGGATCAACAGCAAGAAGTGGGTTGATTTGAGTCTCTTTTATGTCTACATATACACCAAAACGTAAAAAGTAAAGGTGGTGAAATAAACTAGTGCAGGCAAGCCACTGTCATGAGGTCACTCCAAAACCTCCATACAAAAAAGACACAAAATCCTGAACACGAATCAGAAAATTTACTTGGTGATTGTGGCGCCCTGTTTTTCTAATTCGTGTTCAGGATTTTATGTCTACATATACTGTGTAACCTGACAGCTGATGTTGAAGGTGTACATTACCCACATTAGTGCTAACAGCAGCCCATAAACAGCCTTAGCAGTTGACAAGGCACCTACTGAGCATCCTTCCCTGCTCTATCTTATTGTTTACATCAAAGCTGCTGGGAGGGGGGTCTTCATCAGGGTCCCCTGCTTACTTCAGCATTAGGCTCTATGTGCATATGATAACATGGTATGCATCTGCATTATTTATCAGGCTTCTAAATAAAAAGCAAAATAGGTTTATAAAAAAAAAAAAAAAACTACAAAAAAACAAAACAAAAAGCAAAATACTTATTAGTCTTTATAAACAGACATCACCACACCAATGGAAGATGTATTGTTTAATAACTAATTGTGCATGCCCCCCCTGTCTCTGCTCAATGGGGGGGGTGCCAGGCTGGACATTCTGGGCCGAGTTCTAAACCCGTCCATTAGAGACAGCTGTAGGCCCCAATGGAAAACACTTTTCGGTCCCACTTACACCGGATGGGTTTGTCTTCCTTCTCCTCCTCCTCCTTGGTCTTGCGCTGGTCAGCTCCCAGATAGTCCGGCATGGTAACACGGTCTCTCACACTCACACAGATACAATATACCGGAGCCCTGTCTGCAATTACACAGCAAACTGAGCACCACTTCCGGAAACCGCCGGAAACACGTCACCTAGGCAAGCGAACCCATAGGAAGTCGTGCAGCATTTCCGCCCAGCGGTGGCGATAAACACTAGAGCAACGAGAGAGCTCCAGAGAAATGTCGCCCAATGTAGTGTTCAGCTCCGGTGTTTGAGTTTTGAAATCAGCATTGTCAAACACTTTTCATCTTCCATTCTTCTCAGTGATCTTGTTATATATCAGGTGTGCTGAAGAACACTTACAGAGTTATTTACTAAAGTGGGAATTCAAGCAGGTTTATTCTCTAGACATGTTTTCGTTGTCTTGAATATAGTTTACACGTGAATAGTAAATGCACCCAATGTACAGCGATTTGTGAATAGATACAATAAATACGATGCTGACGTTAGAGTCTAATTTAGCCTGCTTCATGACTGAGCAATTAATTTGTCTCTTTGCTAATCCAACTTCGTATACGTGGACATCTGTAAATTATGTAATGAATTGATCATGAAAAATGGCAGCAAACCTGGCACCCTAATAACTGCGCATTTCAATGGGAATAGATCAAAAAAAATTAAGAATCCCACTACGAAAACCATCATGGCTCACCCAAATATAGATTGTTTTCTGAAAAAGTTAATTTTAGCCTAAACTAAACAATATCACTCAGAAGGAGGCCTAACGGTAGGATCACCAGTCCCTCTTTAGAAGCTCTGTTCCGGCGTCCTGCGCAGTTGGTAATTCTGTCCTGGCATCATTGACGCCCTGCCAGCTTTGTCCTCCCAGCACTCATATAATATTCAGTTATTCCTCCATCCATGGCAGCGTTGTGCCTTGAAAAACGTAAATTTCTCCCAGATGCACAGAATGTGTCGCAACTGTCAGGGCTGCTTGTAGCCTGGGGAGGGGGATAGGGCCATGATTCCCTCTAATCCTAGTATATATTGGGTACACTGCTGTATCCTATGTCATTATTCTACAGTAATGTTCTCTGCATTCTAATGGCTCCTCATTAGAAACAAAGCTATAGAAGTTCTATTTTCAGTGCAGCAACAATATAGACTACTTGCATTTATGACTCACCTTTTTAAAATCAAGAATTTCATAAGTGAATCTCAACCAGCCATAGCTGTACCAACAGATAAGATTGATGCAGAGATATCCAGTTGTTCAGATTGTAGTTTAGTAAAAGACTATAATGGCATGTGGATATGATAAGTGCTTCTGCTTACTCTACTCCCTTGTTCCCTTTTGCTCAGCCAGAAAGTAATGGACGAACTCAAAGAGAAAATGCAGTGTTTACATTACAGCTTAGAATAGCTCCACTGGACACTCCTCAGATGGCTACTAGGGGCACTGGCATTCAGTGCCTCCACCCTCTGCATGGAGAAACTGAACTTTACTCATAGAGATGCATTGATTCAATTCATCTCTATGAGGAGATGCTGATTGGCCAGGGTTGTGTTTGGCTTGTGCTAGCTCTGTCCCTGAGCTGCCTCATTGACAGTATTAGCCAATCCTATAGGAAAGCATTGTGATTGGTATTGAGCAACACTTCTGATAATGTCAGCTAAGCAGGCAGATTAGGGGCAGAGCCAGCAGCAGAAGACTGGAGTAAAGGTAAGGTTATAATATATTGGGGGGGGGGGCAGGGTGTTTAGATTGTGTTTTTAATACTATAGGGTCAGAAATACATATTTGTGTACCTGACTCTATAGTGTTCCTTTAATGATAACTCCATCACCATTTGGCCTGGTGGTAAGGGTGGGGGCATAGAGATCATGAACTGGGCTTATGGTAGACAATCTTCAGCACTCTAAATGATGTGGACTACATCGGCCATAATGCTCTTACAACTATAATGCAGGCAAAGCATCATGGGAGATGTAGTCCACAAAATCTGGAGTGCCGAAGGTTGTCTACCTTTGGACCAGGCCCGGACTGGCCATCAGGCACACCGGGCAAATGCCCGGTGGTCCACGATGGCCATGGGCCGTGGCCAGCAGCTGAGGTCACAGGATCTTCCCTGCCAGCCCATGCAGGGCTCACGCTATCCAAGCGCCGGCCCTGGTACATTCCATGATGGTCAGGTGGGGAGATCCAGAGTGTTGTCATGGCAATGCCCCTGATCTCGCGAGAGTGAACTCCCACAGGCTAGAGTTCACTCACCATTAGCACCACCAGGGATGGCAGCACGGTCCCCCCTCCCAGGCTAAAGGTAAAAAGGGAGGGGAGATATAATGCCTCACATATATGACCCTCACACACAGCACTCTCACACACAGCACCCCACACCCAGCACCCTCACACACACACACACATTACCCTTACACATATCTCACACACACACACATTACCCCCACACACACACAGCTCCCTCCCCCCCCCACACACACACACACATTACCCTCACAAACACACCACCCCTCACACTAACGGCACCCTCACACATTTCATACTCACAATATCCATCACACACACTGCACCCCTCTCTCACACACACTTTACCTCTCATTCACTCACACACACTGCACCCCTCACACATACACACAGAACCCCAACACACAATACTTTGATATACATATATACATACACTACTGCACCCCTCACACACATACTGCATCCTCTATACACACACTCTATACAGCCCCTAGCCACACATGCATTAGCTTACACCACAAACACAAGACGACTAAAACCGACCTTAACCACAATACCACACCACAATCAGCTCACTCTACACACACGCAATCCCACAAGCAGGCTCCAAACACATGCACAATACACTTTCCGAGCTCTTTTGTCTCATGGTATCCCATTTATAGAGACACCTTCAGAGACGCTCTTCAGCAGAGCTCTGTGCATGGTCTGCCCTGGAAGAGCATTGAACCAACATGCTCATTTTGAGAGGAGGCGTGCTTGTCATTGGTGATGACAAAACACACCCTCTCTGCCCAGCCCCCTTCTTAGTGGGCCTCTATGATTAAAGAATGCCCGGGCCGAATTTGTTTCCCAGTCCAGAATGGCTCTGGACTGTGCCGATTACTGTAGTGACATCTTAACATAACTTACTAACACATACCAATTATCTGTGTCTAACCCTATGGGTTCCTTCAGCTCAGTGATAAAGGGTGCCATTGGCTGGAGACTCGATGCTGTGTTCATTGCCGTTGTGGAAGCTGAATTCCTTTTTAAGAAATGTCCTAATTATCCCATACTGTACATTCTCACACAGTTCTATTTGGGCAGAGTAGACACCTGCCGTCTGGGTAGGCAGGTGCCTACTCTGCCAAATCCAATTAGGGGGGCACACTGAATAATCTGCAGGGGGAATTGATTCCCTTGCCCCTCTAAAATAGGGTAACCCTAGTGCCCAGGGGATAGCTAGGAGCCACAGAACCACAAATTTGCTTAGCCCCACTAACTATCCCTATACAAAACAGAGGGAGCCTCAAACCACATAGGGCCCTGTGAAATATTAATCCTTCTAGCCTTGCCAGTTGCTTCCATTAGTTCTTCTGAGCTACCCATTTGAAAATGGTTCTTAATAACCTTGTTTCTTGTTGACATTTATAACAATTAGTCTCTTATTTGCTGTTAATATGAGTTTTACCCATAATAAAATTGGTGCAGAATATGTTTGGGTTAAATAAATGGCAATAAATTAAAAATTATGGGCTATTTTAAAATTGACAAATTTGTTGTTTAATGTATAAATGTATTTTAATGTTGTATATGTTTAATTGTGTTTAGTTATTTCAGGTGTTTATGTCCCATAGCATCTATATTGAAATAGATGTTGCATATTTTCAAGTTCATTTGTTGTAATAGCTCCCTAGTTTAGGAGGACCTTCTAAAAGGAATGACAGAATGGAATGCTCATAGACTTTGTAATAGCTCCCTAGTTTAGGAAGACCTACTGAAAAGAATGACAGAATGAAATGCCCATAGGTAATAATGGACTTGAAAAGAATACCCATAGAGAATAGTGGAAACAAAATATTTGAATTACAGACAAAACCATTCAACAGATTACTATTGTTATTATTTTATTATTTATATAGCGCCATCAAATTCCGTAGCGCTGTACAATGGGTGGACTAACAGAAACGTAATTGTAACCAGACAAGTGGACGCACAGGAAAAGAGGGGTTGAGGGCCCTGTTCAATGAGCTTACATTCTAGAGGTAGTGGGATATAGTGACACAAAGGGTATAAGTAGGGGTAATGAAGTAGGTTTCTAGAAAAGTAATCAAATAAAACTTTAGCAAACATACTTTCATATGTTTTCTATGGAATGCCCATAGAGTATAACGGGAAGAAAATATTAACTTTTTTGCATGAAAATCTGTGTTACAGTAAGGGGGGAAAGTATTTGATCCCCTGCTGATTTTTAACGTTTGCCCACTGACAAAGAAATGATCAGTCTATAGGTTTGATGGTAGGTGTATTTTAACAGTGAGACAAAATAAAAAAATCCAGAAAAACACAGGTCAAAAAAGTTATACATTGATTTGCATATCAATGTGTGAAATAAGTATTTGACCCCTTCGACTTAGTACTTGGTGGCAAAACACTTGTTGGCAATCACAGACATCAGACGTTTCTTGTAGTTGGCCACCAGGTTTGCACACATCTCAGGAGGGATTTTGTCCCACTCCTCTTTGCAGATCCTCTCCAACTCATTAAGGTTTCAAAGCTGACGTTTGGCAACTCAAACCTTCAGCTCCCTCCGCAGATTTTCTATGGGATTAAGGTCTGGAGATTGGCTAGGCCCCTCCAGGACCTTAATGTTCTTCTTCTTGAGCCGGCTCCTTTGTTGCCTTGGCAGTGTGTTTTGGGACATTGTCATGTTGGAATACCCATCCATGACCCTTTTTCAATGCCCTGGCTGAGGGAAGGAGGTCCTCACCCAAGATTTGACAGTACATGGCCCTGTCCAT